GGCTCGTCCGCCCTGCAGCGGAGCCCGGCCGAGGCCCGAGCCACAAGCCGGCCCTTGTTTCCCCAGCAGCCCCGGTCGGCCTGCTCCTCCGAGAGGTCAAGCGCATGCACTTCTCACTGCTCCGCCTGCTACGCGCGGGTCACACCTTCCTGGTGACTTCTCTTCTTGCATGGACGTGTCCTTGGTTTCTACTGCACCACAGGGCAGCACCCAATTCAGACTCCTTCCCAGGACTTCTGCCGTCTCACTCCACTGCTGGTCTGCCCCTTAGCCAGCCCACCCCGTCCATCAGTCTCCTCCCCCCACCAGTCAGACCAGTCTCCCCACCGGGCTCCCCCTTCAAATGCCAGTGCCCCCCGCCACGCTCGTTACCCGACTTGTCTACCCCCAGCTCCTCACCTGTCTCACTGTTCATGAGCTGTTACTAGAAAACATTTGAAGTAACTCAGTCAAGATATTACACTGAGGATTATTAGGGCAAGTTCCACTGCTTGCATTTCTGAATTCCTGGATAATAAAACAATCTGAATTTCAGCTTTTGGACAACACCGGAGACTCACTCACTTAACTCTTTGATTTACAATGTATCATTTATTTTTACAACAGCATTAGCCTGGAACTGCCAGAGAATAAGAGACAATACCAGTGTTCACAAGATATGGCAGCTGTTCTGGCTTCTCTGAACAAGATGTGGGAAACCTACTTAGAGGCATCTGAAGTTAGATGCATCTAAGTCACAGGTCAGCAACACCTCAGGAGCAGCAGGCTGGGATTATTTTTCTGATACCACTGCTATTACTTCTTCCTGCTGTCCAGGCACCACGCAGATGAAGATGTGGCATTTTAGGCCAGCCAGAATAGCTCCACCGGCCATAGGTTGCCAACCCCTCGCCTAGGCTAGGTAATTAGCAAGGGACAGCAAGTGTTTAGGTAAGATAGGCCAGGTTTCTTCCCCCTCTTCTCCATCCTTCCCCACCCTTCAAAAAGCTTTGTTCCTTAAAAGAAAGTAACAGCTACCTGAAGGGAAGATCCCTCTGGTAGATCTGCAAAGGAAACATGATGGATACAGGGAGCCAGGTAGTCATTTTAGTCAGAAGTCAGTCAGAAAGGAGGGCAGATATTCACCTTTAGAAACTAAGATTTCACTTCGGTTAACCTAACAGACCAGTTTGTGATGGATTTCTTGTTCCCACAATTTCCCATTCAAATGGGTTATTCATTTTTGTTCTGGGGTTTGTTTGGGGGTTTTTTTGCTTGGGAACAGCAATCCTGAGGTCAGCAGGGGAGTCGGCAGGGAGGTTGAAGTGTTCTGCCACAGGCTTTTGTGTCTTTCTGCAGCTGATACAGAGTACGATAGTGAAAGGCCTCCTTTGGGAGTGAGAGGACTGGATATTCCATCTTCAGAGAAGCAAAGTCAACACCAAAAGTAACACATTCAAAGTCTACTGTGCAGTAAAGCTTCCCCTGTAGAGACCCACTGAGTAGAAATCACCCTTCATTGAGAGATACATTTGGTATTTTTATTGAATTCCATTTCAGTCTAACATTCTTAGACTAAGAAGCCTGACTTCTTAATAAAATATTTGAAAAAAATAAAAATTGATAAATTAATAATATTTTAGCCAGGCTCTCAAAACAAATTTTAACTAGTATTTGAGTGCTTGTTACTAAGGGAGGGTAGCAGGAGGGAACAGGACATCAAAACCTTTACAGCAGATTAAAAAAAAAAAAGCAAACCCTTCAGATAGTTCCACAAATTCTTCACAAATACAAATTAAAGCTCTTCCTTCTGGACAGTATTCCTCCCTAACTTATTCTTTCCTGATTCTTTTTTCTTTTCTACCTTCTTGTTAAAACTTTCCCTGAAGCGTTTTTCTTCTTCTGCCCTTTCCCTTTTCTTTTCTTCCTCAGTCTGTTTTATGTTCATCACCTTTTCAGGGTCCTAAAGAGAAAAGGACATGGAGGGGTTTTCTTTGTCTAAGTCTGCAAGCCCTTCTGTTCATTGAGCTTTACATTTAAGTCAATGGTAAGGAGTTCTTTATAGAGGAATTGCAAGATTAAGGCCTTTATTAGTAACAGGCATCCAAGATTTTTCAAGTTTTTTTGTGGCTGGCAAAGGTTTGCGGGGGGAAAAGTGAGTGCACCAAGACAGGAGTGACTATAAAAGCTCAGCTTTATGCCAGTTTTGGGTGCCGTAGCAACTCAGAAGTAAGCATAAGACAGTACTAGCCCCTGCAGAGGAAGATTCTAGGTACTATATTTATTCAATGTTTCGCAAAGAAGCTGCTTTTAAAACGTGCGGTAACTTAGGCTTGTGCTGGAATAAGAACTTGATACTTGTATAGCCAACAAACTCACGTTCATTTAAACAAAGATTCATTATTCTATGCACAGACTGTACGCTTGGCAAGTGTTTCAGAAAGAGATGAGAATCAGTCCATTTGGTTTTGAGCAACTTTTTCTCTCTCCTGACCCTGAGCTGCTCTATGGGCTAGAGACCTCTGGCAATTTATTAGGACACCCTCATGGACTGCAGTCCTATTTGGAACCTCCACAGAACTGTACATTCCTTTTACAAGGGCTTGAGGGGAGATCCTAAAAAAGAAGCCTAATAGTTGTCTTTTATACTGTTTGTGTCTGGGGACACTCCTTCTTTGACTCAATAAAAAGCCTGTAAAACAGACCCCTTTACATAACTCCAATCCTTTAACTTGATAATGAGTGGCTAAAATAGGGACAGGGATTTAATTCATTACCTTGGTTTCTCCCCAGGTTTCATATCCAAAATCTTCTGCATATTCTTCATCATCTGTGATCAAGAAATTATCAAAAATTGTTCCAGCTCTCACCTTGAATGGAAGGAGAGAAGGTGGGGTGGAAAAAGTTAAGCTAAAACTATATTGTCAGGGAACATGATTATTCCTTTTAATTACTTAAAATACAGGATGCTGCTGAATTCTACATTTTGCACATAGTCCCATGAATGCCAGAATTGTACTCCAGAATACAAAGCCCTGTCATTTCTTTAAATGAAAGTTGGACACTTTAGACATTTTTTTACTTCCACATTTGTCCATAGTAGCTTGGATTACTAGTTTGGAAGAAAAAAAATATGTACCTATCATCATACTATACTTGAGCGTAAGTAAAGAATGCACTGAAGAGTCACATTTAGTGAAGTACATGAAAACACAAGAAGGTTATTCCCTCATTTTTCATTAAATCTCGAAGTCATCAGCATTAGAGCAGTGGTTTAATTAGATCTGTTTAATGCAATATTTGACTTCTATGTAAAACACAGCCAATTAGGCTGACACAGGTATTAGCTAACCCCTACCCTTCCTACACATTAAGTGACATTTACAGAAAAAAGTTCGACAAACACCTCTGTAGAGGCAAGGAATGGAATAAGTACTTTAATTTCTAGTTACCTGCAGGAATTTAAAACAACTGACCTGCCAAATATCTAGTCCAATGACACTAATGTTCTCATAGCTGAGAATGTTGAAGTCTGGCAAGTAGTTTGGATTGTCAATCTGTGGATGGGGCCAAACTCCTTTATAATTAGGGTTATTCATCTTCCTTGGTTTCCATTCACCCTACAACAAACCATATGATTCTTGATACCTTTGGCCAAAAGAACAAGCAGTTTAAAGAAGTTATACATGACTAGAATGATTTTACTCTGTACAGTGGATTCTTGATCATAGGGTGTCGCCATTCTCCATCAGTCACATTGTTCCAGTCTTTAGATCTCTCGGCACTAGTGTCTGGAATGTATTCAGGTTCATCCCAATCCTTTAAAATACATAATAAAGAAGATAGCAAAATTAACACAACTTTATATAATACGTGCAAGAGACATTACCCAACCAGTTCAAGAAAGAAAGAAAAATATACCTATTATCCTTTTTTAAAAGATTAAACAAGTTAATCTGTCAGAAAAGGAAAAGCCTCATTTGCTAAGGCCCCTGGCAGATGTCATTAAAGGTGTGACAGAATTTGATCTGTGATCCCAGCAATTGGGATTCCTGCCATGCGACACGTGTATGGCAGGAGGTGTGATAGTGGGATTGGGGAATTGGAATGCAACCTTGCTCTGTTGCCAGTGCAGGAGGCATCCAAGACCACAATCCCAGGCTCCCCCTAATCCCGTAAATAGCAAGCTAGGTGCTCAAGTCTCCTCCTATGGCTGGGAATGCCAGTCAGCTACTCAGCGCTAGCCACATATTCAATTAAGGGGAAAAAAGGACACCAGCTACAAAGGTATTGCATATATTTTTTTTAATAACTTTGTGTCTTATTTGGTTTCATTGTGCTGTTAATTGCACAAACTGGCTAATTAGCAATCATATTAAATATAACATCTGCCAGGAGCCTAAATCACCAAATGCCAAAGATCTCAGTTTCATAATCCTAACAAAACCGGGATGGCATGTAGGTGTAGGTGAGGCACATGTAGGTTAATGCTACCTGTATTTCAAAATTCGCAACACAATCAAAGTTTGAAGTGGTTTAGTACAATCCTGTCCTGGTCATTTGGTTCTAGGAAACATATAGGAAGCAATGTTTTCTGGAAAGTTTTACTAGATCAGTAATTTTCATTAATACATTTCACAAGGTGAACCCAGAGATGTTAAAAAGGAATGCAGCTGTTGCCGTGTTTCCGAGTTATTTTCAACAGAGTTGCTCCATTATTTTTCTGCAGTCAAGGCATGAAAGCCAAGAGCTGGCATTTTCCAAGTGATGCCTTGAGTCTAAAACAAGGTTGAGAGCCACTGTACTCAATACCAGCCTCCTTAATGCATTGCTAGTAATGCATAAGAAGGCCACTATCTGGTCCCACCACAGGACCCAGGTAAAGCACTTGCATTAAGTAATCAGCTTTACATGATATACAGCTTCTATTCAGAGAATCACGTGACCTAGACAATTCTTCTATGTTCCAGAAGTCAGAACCAGAAAGGAAGAGAAAAAGGGGGGGGGGGGGGGGGGTGGAATTCCACCAGATTAATGATAGACACCCTGTCCCTGAAACGGAATCAGCAAATCCATCAGAATGCTTCACATGCAACCATGGTCTATAATGCGAAGACCAAAACAGGCCTGATCCTAGACTAGGGTTCTGTATGGGTTTATGTTCCTCTTTTCATTAGCATCACTTAGTAGCCATGTTCTGGGTACAAACATCCGCAACTTCTGGCTAGCTCCTACTGGAAACATCCGTGTATAAGCTGTGCATTGCTGTCAAGAGTTTTGTGCAGGCTTTTAACAGTGTATGTATGCCCTTGTAATAAGTGCTCAGGAAGTCTCTGGTTTCACGCTGCCAGCAGACCTCTCCTTGATTCCTAAAAGTTAATGTCAGAATACATTAAGTAAATGCCTAGACAAGCAGATAGCCAATAGGAAGAATGAACTGCTTCACTTTGAATGTGTAGCTGAAGTACACACAATAATTTTATTTGATAAAGTCCATTAAATTTGGTATTATAATAATCCAATATTTCTGATAAGGATGCATCCCTAAAAATGCAGGGTAAAGAATCTTAAAACAAATTAACTAACTAACTAAATAAAAAGGAAACCACCTCTGGCTTGACATCATTTGGATCATCAATTTGGGCTATATCATCCCAATCCTGAGGTTTCTTCACTGTAAAATCATTTATTTTCCTTGGTGGCAAGAAATCCCAGTCATCTTCTAGATTACCCGACTCAACCATTTCATTATCAATTTTCACTTTGTATGTCTGATCTGATCTTAAAATCAGTGTGTACAAGTGAGTAAATCCATCAACCTGTAACATTTTTAGAGTTTAAAAAGAGTTAAATACTTTTTACTACTGAGAACAGGTAGTTTTAAAAATAATACTGCATTAAATCATAGTCTATGTTCAGCTGAAATATCAAGAGAAGCTTAAAAGAACTTTTATAGAAGCTAAGCATGAAAATGCTTAAGCACAAATAAAAGCATTTTCAATACTTCAAGAACTGGTCATGAAAAATGCACTCAAAGTAACAATGAATTAGTCCAGAGTCAACAGTTTTTCCCATTTTAACCAGAGGAAGTAGGGCAATGCTCAAAGGAATTGCCCTGCGGTGGGGAACAGACAGAGAGGGAGAAACAGACATTTATTTATTGGACGGCTTGTTCTTTTTTAAAATTGATTCATGTGTTTCTTTTGAGGAAGGGGGCTGGGGGGGCGGGGGGAGAGAAAGGGGAAGGTAAGTTTAGAGAACAGTCACAGTCCCCCTTTGAGACAGGGAGATACAGGCTTGGGAAGGACTGTAAGGAAGAAGACAAGACAACTCCCTTGGCTATGAAGCAGGGGAATAGGAGTGAATAGTAGGGCATGCAGGAGCAGAATTTTTAAAAAGTATTGAACATGAGGTTGGAAAACTTGCGTGCAGGAAGGGGCAGGAAGGTTGTACCTTCTTATTTAAGATATTCTATTTTGTTTATATAGTTTTTTGCTTTTCTCATAAACCATCCTAAACCTTTTCTGGGATAGCCGACAGTGACAAGATAAAGAAGGAGAAATAAGCATCTCTCAAAGTTAGAAATATATATGTAACCTCAAGTGTGGGCAAAGATCATCAATGCAGGCATCCGACTTTCTTTAGAATACTCCAACACCAACATCCCCTTTTTAGACACAAGGGTCAGTATCCAGAAGGGTAAAATACAGACCACAGTATACAAGAAACCCACAGACCAACATACATATCTGCACAGAACCAGCAATCACCCGAAACACACCAAAAAAGCAGTGATATACAGCCAAGCCCTCAGATACCACCGCATCTGTACTGAAGAGAATACCCGGGATTGCCACCTCACCAGTCTTAAAAAGGCTTTCACCCAGCAAGGACACTCCTCCAGAGAGGTAGATCGCACGTTTGAAAGAGCCACCTGGATACCACGTGAAGAACTGCTGCAGTACAGAAGAAAAACACCCACAAATTGCACACCGCTGGTTATGACCTATCACCCATCCCTTGAACCTGTACGGAAAATCCTCAAAAAATTGCAACCCATATTAGAAAAAGACCCTATTCTTAAAAAGATCTTCCCAGAGCCACCCATCCTAGCCTTCAGACAAGCACCGAACCTCGCCAACCTCATCACCAGAAGCAAACTTCCTCAAGCCCAGAACACACCAAAAGGATCCAGACCGTGCCATGACAAGAAATGCAAAACCTGCCCCCACATCTCCACCACCCCCACTATTACTACACCCCACAACAGAGCCATCAGCATCCCAGGATCTTACAGCTGCACCTCCAGGAATGTAGTATACCTCATCCAATGCACCAAACGCCCTGATGGAAGATATGTAGGAGAGACCAGACAACAACTGCGCACCAGAATGAACGCACGCCGGAAATCCATCAAAGACAGAAACACCCAATTACCGGTGGGGGCACATTTCTCACAGGAGGGCCACTCTCTCTCCAATCTCTCAGTCCTGATCCTCAAGGGAAATTTACACAATACATCCCAGAGACGAGCCTATGAGCTCCATTTCATCAACCTGCTGGATACTAGAGATCAGGGACTAAACATAGACATTGGATTTTTGATGCATTATAATCTGCCTGGCAACTGACTCCCCAGCCCAGCCCAGCCCCTGGCTTCTTCACTTTTCATTCCATCCAGGAAGAGCACACACCAACTGCTGCAGCTTCCTGAGCCTGACGAAGGGTTTTTGAACCCGAAAGCTTGCTTAATAACTATTCTCCAACCATTTGGGTTGGTCTAATAAAAGATATCAAATTCACCCAAGGAACCTTGTCTGAAAAATCCAGGAAATTCAAGTTATGGTTACCCTTGAAAACTTCTAACATGTACTTTGTGGTACAGGCTTCCAACCCCTGATTTAAGAGTAATGTAAGTCTGGGGGGGATGATATAATCTATTTTCCATACAGAAGACCTTGAATCCCTGCTTTAAAAGCAATACTGTAATAAAACTACAAAAAAAAGTCACTACCTAATACTTCCCTAGTGCATTTAATACAAGCCTGTCTTTACAGTTTTATAAATGTATTTAAAATTCACATAACTATAATTTTCAGAAATATCAAGCATTTACCTTGCACCTGATTTGTTTCTTGATTGGATAAAGCTTATTCTTGTAATTTAAAATAACATGAACTTTCTTTGTTTCAGATCCACAAATATCTGGTCCTTAAGAATATAGAACATGACTTTTGTTTTTAAATTGTTTTATATGCATACACCTCTTTTGGCTAAAAATCAAAACACCATGCACCATAACCCAACAGGCACTCTTCCATGTGGTACTTGTGCATTTTTTTTTTTTTTTTTTTTTTTTACTTGCACAGTTATTTTTAAGTTTTAGGTCAATTGCAAAAGTTATATTTAGACTTTGCTAGCCACATGTTGCATTCTTAATCCAGACATTAAACACACAATTAAAACCAAATACCACACATGAATATACAGAAATCCTTTAACAGCAGCAGTTATCCATAGTCCAAATTAAAAGGAAAATTTTTTAAAAAACCTCTCAACTGATAAAGCATCTTTGGCTTCAGTTTTACCCTGAGGTACACAAATGTAATGTATACAAAAATAACAGAGAAGTAGGGTTTGGAAGGGACCTCATGAGGTCATTTAGTTCAAGCCAAGATCTTCCCCCATCTAAACCATCCTAGAGAAGTTTGTCTAACTTATTCTTAAAACAACCTTCCAAGGATGGAGATTCCATACCTCTTATTTAAATGGATCTGCAATCAGGGGAGGCACATTTTGGACTACAGTTAAGGTTTTCAAAAGCTTTAGTGACTGCAGTGACCTTGCTAAGCATTTAACTTCATCATAGGAGAGTTCCATACACTTTTAGTTCATAGCTCTGAAGCAGTCATGGGCACTTCTCATTTGCATTTTGATCAATGGTGTTTCAAAGGATAGCTCAGGCACAGAATTAGTGACAAAAGTCAAGGCATTCTAATTTAGTTGAGGCATTTGAACAATGTATGTATAACTAAACTCACCAAACATAATGTAATACGGTGAATCACTACTCATGTTTTTTTGATCCAAGTTTGAGGAAAATAGTTTTATATATCCACCACCACAGTCTATCTTTTGCTCATGTTTTACTGTATATTGAATGACTAGAGTCTTTCCTTTATTGTTAAATGGTTTAAATCGTGATGAGATTGCATAAAATTTGGAATTTTCACAGGTTTGCAGACCTGTAAAGATATTAAAGTTTGCATATAACAACATGTCAGTTGTACGTGCATGCACACAGTTCAATTTCACCCTTCCTCCCCTCCAATCTGTGGATAACTAGATATATAATAAAGATAGAACTAACTGTGTAGGCAAATAAGTCAGTCTTGACTAAGAAAAAGTCCATTAGTTGGGCAGGTACAGATTTGCTATATAAATTTAGAGATTTAATTCTTAATTTAACCGAGACAGAAATTCTCTTATTTACACTATTATTGATATTGAGTTGCTCTCAAACTAGAAAGTCATACAAGTGAAATCAAGAGCAGAATTGGCTGCGTTTTCAGTGGAGAAAAAAAGCTGTATGTCATTCTTCACTTAACTGAGTACAACATAAAACCAAAAAACACAACCAAACTATTGCCCTCAAACAAGACATAAAACAAAGCAGACAGTTACTTCTATATATTTTAACATTGTTTAAAAATGACATAGCAATAAGAATTAAAATACAGTTAGTCATCATGCCATACTGTTGGATTAATAATCCACACTAAAAAAGAACACGACAACATTTTTTAGATTTATCATGATTGATCTGAATGTAGGGTAGATTAAAATTAAAAATATATAGCTAACTAAAATTAGAGATCTATAGCATAGTGTTTAGTGAATTGGAGCTCCCTTCATCAGATACTGTGAAAGGAGATGCAAAGAGCAGGGTATAATGCCCTAGCATCAATATAGACCACATCATCACTGGATTAACAGACTATAATATCCAAGGTCCATTCACCTGCAACTCCACCAATGTCGTATATGCCATCACCTGCTTACAGTGCCCCTCCGCTGCCCATGTTGGGCAGATGGGACAATCCCTACGTGAATGAATTTGACATCAGCTCCAGAAAAACACAAAAGCCTGTGGAAGCATATTTTAACCTCCCTGGATACCCTGAGGTCAGTGCTTAGGCAGCAAAGCTTTAAAAAACAGATTTAAACTGAAAACTGCAGAACAAGAAACCATTGGCAGACGGGATTGTTAGATATGGTTTAAACGGAGGCTGTGGATTCTTATTCCCATTCCTTGGATTTGTTTTTGCGAGCCCTTTGTTCCTGTGGGTTGACTGCCTGTTTGCCTCTCCCAGCACTGCTTCCCTCTCTTCTCCCTACCTTTTGTATTCGACACTCTCTCCATTTTATACATTGCTTTGTGCACTTCCTTTCACGGCAACTGAATAGGTGAGCTCCAGCTAAAGAAACCTGTATATAACATACAATTAAGTGAGTCTATGACAGGGGTTGGCAATGTTTTTGGGCAGTGCCAAAAATACCCTCAACCTGGACTTGTAAGGTGTTGGTGTGCCAGGGGTGGACAGCAAGGGAGCTGCAAGGGGCCCGACCCTTGTTGTGGCAGTGCAGCCCCGGCCCTTTGTCCGAGGCACGAGGGCCAAGCAAAATGCCTCGCATGCCACGCGTGCTGGGGCTTGCCTACCCTGGTCTATAAGGTTCAGGTCTATCCTGCCTTCTGCTTGACTTCAGGCTAACACAACCAGCTACATCTCCACTGATCTGTCAGCAGGTCTCTAGGACATGCTGCCCATCTAGAAAGCAAGGACTTCACGACTGCTAAGCTGGCCAGAGGTAATGTTCTGAGGAGATTAATGCAAAGTATTGCTTATGAACTTGCTAAATGTGCTGAGACTAGACATTTGCCCATGGCGTTTTGCAGTTAAATCATTCCAAACAACACTTTCAGTCCAATTCACAAACCTTTATCTTTGACAGGGTCGCCATAAAATTTTCCAGCAGCCAGTTTAAACATCCCAAGGTCAGGTTTATGTTGAGAATTCAACCATCTCCTTTGCCAGTTAACTGTCAAATCAATTCGTTCAGGTTAAAATGGAAATGCTAGGCTTCTAAACAATGGAAACGACACCAAGTCTGTCTTAATCAGTTACATAAGCACACCTCTCCAGACCTTGACTGTTTTCCTGAGACTGGGGGTGTGGCTACATAGCACTAGGCAGCTACCACCAGGATTTCGGTAGGGGAGCCCTGCTGGGGACAGAGATGACTTCCTGGGTAGGAAGCCCTCGCCCCCACCTCGACTCTCAGCAAAGCGCTTTGCTCTGGGATAGCGGTGCCGTGAGCCAGCGCGCGAGTGCCGCCATGGCAGAGGCGAGCG